TTTTAATGATACAGGGAGTTAAACTTGATACGATTTTCAGGTATAATTGGTTATAACTTTTTAAATACCCGGTATAACATAATAAAACTTTACAATATTGTGATGTGAAAGTGAAGCAGATTTCAAATTTAAAATATAATACGGGGTGTTTCATTTAAACAAAACATAAGTTTGGTCTGCCACCATCTTAAAGAACACCCTGTAAGATTGTAACTAATTTTAAAATGTGGAGTTTAAAGATGTCTACAATTTTTGTCAATAAATTTTTTTTGTAATTTTTACTATAACAGATCTACTGAGCTTCCTCACACTAATCAATCACCCAAAAGAGTTATCAGAAAAATTTCACAGGCCAACGAAAAAGAAGATTTAAAAAACTTTTCTTACAAATTTATGTGAATCCTATGTATGTTTTTGGCGCTAAAAAAGAATCTGAAATTAGATTTTATGTATCACCCACAGTTTTCCCACAATATGGCGCTGGCTTATTCTACAATATAATAATTTGAATTACACAAAATACCGGAATACATTAAAATGATACATTATTAGAAAAATGCCTTTTATCTAATGTTTATCTTTTCACAGTCTAGGTCTGTAGAAGCATTTCAGGAGTCAATGCTTTTGTATTTTCATTTTCTTTTTTTTTCTGTAAAACTTCTCAAGTAGCTTTTTGGTGTTCCAACATCCCTCGTATGGTTGCTCCATCACCTTGATATCCTGGTAGAAGCGTTCGCCTCATTATTCACTGACTGCAGCCAGATTCTCAAGGAAATGATCAAGATGGTTATGCAAAAGTTGGATTTTGAGGTTCATTCGACATTCCAAATCTTAAATCTTATCTAAAATCTTAAAAAACTTATCTAATAAATTAGCTGCTATAAGCTCGTAGTTAGGTCTTTCATATTACCAAAAAACTTTGTTACAACTTTTTGGAATCCAATCCAAGCTTCTTTTTCCTTAGTAGTAATCTTGGCCTCAAAGGTAATTATGCAATTTTAAATGTTAAATTGTGAAAGAATGGTGGGTGATACAGCATGTTTAATATGATTTTCGAACTGAGCACACCAAAATACATAAAATAGAGGTAATTTTATCAAAAAAGTTTTTTCATCGTTGGCCTGTGTTTTCTACCAAGTAACCAAAAACAAAATTTGATTAATTTATTAATGTTCCCTGCATTCTGAGAAAGATTTCCGAAGTTGAAATCGAAACATCAAAAATAAACTTATTATAAGCTTAAATTATGGCTTAAATTCGTAATGTACCCATAAAGTACATACAAGTTCAAAAAGAAACGTTGAAATACATAAAAAAGGAACAGAGATACAGTTAACTGTGCTTTCACCCTCCCTTCAGCTCCCGAAAGTTTCAAAGCCGACCGATTTTACATACATTTTGAAGCTGTGTGGACGATTCCATTAAAGGGCAATATTTTTAAAATTTAGTAGTTTAAAACTATAAAGTATATTCTTTTACTTTCAAGTGTTATAAACAAAGGTGCTATGAATTAAATAAAAAAGAGGCTAACTTTGTACCAAATTATTTTAGGACAAACTTTTTTTTATTTAGATTTGTGAAAAAATTCAGGCTTTTGAAATAATATAAAAATAATATTTTTACAGTTAATGGTTAAAAAGTTATTCTAATTGTTTATAAGCAAAAAATCGACATGTTTTTGCAATATTATTTTGCAATATTTAAAATTAATTTTCTTAATTTTTTTTTAATGTAAATAATAAAACAAGTCTTCTTCTACCAGAAACTACCCCTTGAATTACTAAAACTGTATAAATTTCTGACTTGTAAAACTGTATAAATATTGTTGCAAAAAATGTTAATTTAAATAAACAAATAAAATAACTTTTAAACTATTGGACCGATCACTTTGAAATTTTAACCCTATTTTAAGCACTGCAAGCCACACAACATTCCATGAGATATAAATATTATAAGTTTATTTTCAATAAAGTTATTAACATTTATAGAAAACCGAAATTTTTGACTTATTTTGCAACTTTCTAAGCAACAGATAAGTATATAAACATTTAGAAAACGTCATTTTGAAGGTTTTTATATAACTTATAAGTTTCTTGTCTTCTAAAATTTGTTTAAATTGCTTCACTTTGCTGATAGACGAAAAAAGCAAAAATTTTCCGTTTTTTGACCTTAATTTGTTAATAACTAATCAAGTCCAAAAAATCGACTGCAGGAAACATATAGGTTTTTGTTACAGAGGTCCGTACTACTCAAAACAACTGTCGTTTGCCTGGCCGGACGAGTGTCATGAAAAAATGCTTATTTCTCTGGGCTAATATTGCAGAAGATCGAGAAGCCTTCGCAATGGTGATCGCCAACGTCGGATAATTCTGATATGGCACGCGAAGAAGAAGAATACGATTTTGTAGTCGTATTATAACAAATAAACTAATGTTTTTCTCTACGGCACTTGAGGTTTAACAAATTCTTGATCAGATTTAGCACACTTAAAAGAAGAATTTTGGAGCTGTTAAAATCCATTATAAAAGAATTTTTAATAAAAATTCCCATAAATGGACTGACTCCAACCAGGGCCCCTGAATTTTAAATAATAAATTGCCATCGAATGGCTAATGGACATTCCCATTTATTTCAATTACTATTTAACTGGGAATAAGCCAGAATTTAAGATAAAAATACGTTTTTTGACGTTTCAATTTCCACTTTGGAAATCGTTCTCAAAATACAAACAGTAAATTAAACAAATTTTGTTTTTTGATACATAGTGAAAAATTCTTCTAATAATTTAATTTTATCTGACTCATTTATATTGACAATTCAGACATACATTATGCATTTTAAAGTAGACGACTTTAAAATGATATTGTCAATATTGTTGAGTTGCCCTCCAGGGACGACAAGATAGTTCATTCGATTACATGAAATTAACTTTAACTTGAGAATATCCGTCAGAAAAAGTCATAGCATGTAATTCGTCTTTAAAAAGACAAACATATGACATGATGACAGTAAAATTCTCCTGTTAGTGATTCCATAGTAAATTATGAGGGAAAAACCAGGAAAAAAACCTCATAATACTATCCCGACATTGTAATTATTTATTCGCGAATTTTGTTTACCTTCAACAAACATCAAAATTCTGATTTTATATGTTACGTTATTTAAAAAACATAAATGATGTATCCTCTATATGTTACTGACTTACTAATACTGGTATTTTCTTATTAATAACTTTTTTAACGAATTTTCGTTAGAACAAGTTAGAATTTTCGTTCTTGGAGGAGAAACATTTGTTAAAATTTGTTTTATTAAAAAATAATTATCCTTTATCGTTTATAAATAAGGAATTTTCAACAATCGATCGAATAGAACAGAACAACTTAGAACGAGATCCTACAGCATACACAAGGAATAATATGAGGTTTATATACAGATTAACTTAAAAAGATAGGAAATAAATTCAACATTTCAACAACATTCAAAACAACAAACACGTTGAGATCTATTTTGTCCAAAACCAAACCTAACAATGAACAAGAAAGGACAAAGAATTGCATTTATAAAATACCTTGTGAATGCGATCAGTTTTATTTAGGCGAATCATCAAGGCCATTAAATGTTAGAATAAGTGAACATCAATCTTATATTAAAAATAGAGAATTTAATAGATCGCAAATATGTAAACACGCATGGGATAATGAACATAGGATTCAATGGAATAATTCAAATGTAGTCCTAAAAGAAACGGATGGTAAAAAAAGAAAAATCAAAGAAGCGGCTCTAAATATGCTAAATGAGGCCAATTGTGTCGCAAATTCCTCGGCAGAATGTAGTAGGATCTGGTTACCAATATTGAAAGAGGAAGTTATTAATAAGAAAATACCAGTATTAGTAAGTCAGTAACATATAGAGGATACATCATTTATGTTTTTTAATTAACGTAACATATGAAATCAGAATTTTGATGTTTGTTGAAGGTAAACTAAATTCACGAACAAATACCTACTTACAATGTCGGAATAGTATTATGAGGTTTTTTTCCTGGTTTTTCCCTCATAATTTACTATGGAATCACTAACAGGAGAATTTTCCTGTCATCATGTCATACGTTTGTCTTTTTAAAGACGAATTACATGCTATGATTTTTTCTGACGGATATTCTCAAGTTAAAGTTGATTTCATGTAATCGAATGAACTATCTTATAAGTAAAGTCGTCCCAGGAGCGCAACTCAACAATATTGGCAATATCATTTTAAAGTCATCTACTTTAAAATGCATAATGTATGTCTGAAGTGTCAATATTAATGAGTCAGATAAAATTAAATTATTAGAAGAATTTTTCACCATGTAACAAAAAACAAAATTTGTTTAATTTACTGTTTGTATTTTGAGAACGATTTCCGAAGTGGAAATTTAAACGTCAATAAACGTATTTATTACAGAGGAATCTCACTAATCAACACTACATATAAAATATTGGGTTCGATATTATTAAAAAGATTAGTACCATAGGCCGAAGAAATAGTTGGTGACTACCAGTGTGGTTTCAGGCCTGGCAGATCGACTATTGATCAAATATTTACAATAAGACAAATGCTTGAAAAGTATTGGGAATATAATCAGGACGTGCATCAGATTTTTATAAACTTCAAATAGGCTTATGATTCAATTCAATTCAATGATCGAGCTCGGCGTAGCCAAGAAACTAGCTGCGATAACACAAATGTGTGTAAGTAACTCTTTTTCACAAGTTAGAATAGGGGGAACAATATCAATGCTTTCTACGTAAATTTTGGACTGAGACAGGGAGATCCGTTGTCCCCATTGTTGTTTAACCTGACCTTAGAATCTGTCATGCGAAAAATATATCCAAAAATCAAACCAGCCATAACTGCTCGGGGAGCAAAAATCATACTCGCCTTTGCCGATGACGTAGACGCCTACTGGTCATTTTGATTGGCGTTTGTAGCCCTGATATAAAAAACGTATTTTTTTTAAGCCAGGAAAAGGAAAGGTTTCGCAAAGCCTCTACAACCCCTTATCTGGCTGCTGAGAAAATCCTATTGGATCATATTTTATTCCTGCATGCGATGAGTGGTTCTGATACTACTTCTGCATTGTTTAATCAAGGGAAACTGAAATTTCTTAAAGTCCTGCAGAAGAACAAAGATTTGCAATCGCTAATTGAATCTTTCAAATACCCTAATTTAAGTCAAGATGAGATTGCCACAGCAGGAAACAGGTTTCTCACGGCTCTATATGGAAAAAAAGAGACAAAACTAAACGATTTAAGATATAAACAATACGTATCTTCATCATTCAAAAATAAGACCAACATTTCCTCATTGCCCCCATCTGAAGCTGCTGCACGAAAACATTCACTGAGAGTTTACTATCAGGTGCAGCAGTGGTTATCCGGTCAAGCCACACCTAACTAGCAACAAAAAGACCCAAGTGAGTGGGGATGGCAAAAAAACTAGTAGTGGTCTTGTGCCAGTACCAACTACTTTGGACCCTGCACTAAACTCAATACTCCGGTATATTTCATGTAAATGTAAAAAGAACTGTCAACGCAATTGTGGATGCAGGAAGGCGGGACTCCATTGTTCCCCAATATGCGCATCATGCGAAGGACTGTGTAACAATGTTGAGCCCCCAAAAGACAGCTCTGACGTAGACGTAGAAGAAACTGAAGAAAGAGAAAGAGGTATGTTGGATCTGACAAGTTATTTTGTAGTCATTCATCTCTCCTTGATATATGATATGTGTCTTTTCTCTTTTTTTTTTTTCAGGAGAACGACTCCCGACGCGGACGATGGAGCAATCAGACCCTAAACCAGGAACCTATGCCATCGAAGAACCTCACTACGATGCGGAAGGTATGTTTAATCTCACAATCTAATTTGCAATGTTCATCTCTTCTTGATAAATGACTTAACTTTAAACTTTTATTTTCCAGAACAAGCAGAACCAGGACTCATCGTTATCGAAGAACCTCAGCCAGGGCCTTCCAAAAGACAACGGCTCATATAAATTTTGCATATTATAATTTATAATCATAATAATATATGATCATAAGTAACGAGATTTTAAGTTTTATTTTGTTACGAGTTCTATCTACCTATTGAATTTGCATAATTTTTCCCTTTTTTCTTTTTAATTACTTGTTTGGAAAACTAGGTGACATTTATCAAATAACAGCATCCATGAAAATTAAATATTGAAATGTAAAAAGTGGGTTTTGTATAAAATGCTAAAAATTTACAATTTTCAACTCGCACTAGAAACCGAACGATTCGTCTGAAAAAAAACTAAATACTGGTATTTGTAGAAAATTTCAAGTACTTTAATTTCTGTAAACAGACCATTTACCAAAAGTTGATAGTTTTCGAGTTTTAAGCAAAAAACCCGAAAAAAGAAGAAAAAAAAAACCGTTTATTCTGTTTTTTTTAATGTTGCGTCACGAAATTTTGTCCGCAAACCCCAGATTCGGATTAAGCACCCCAAAAAACATATGGAATGAAAAAAATCAGAACTACCCCAAAACTTTCCTAGCAAAAATACAATTTAACTAAACTATAAGACCATAATACGACCAACAGTCGCGTATGGAAGCGAAACATGGACGATAACAAAAAGAGAAGTAAATAAATTGCTGCTGTGGGAACGTAAAATTATTCGCATGATATATGGCCCTTGCAGAGACAGTGTGACAAACGAATGAAGAGACAGATACAATAACAGGCTAGAGTCTCTATTCGGAAAAGAAAATCTAGTCAGATATATAAAGACCAATGGACTCAGATGGGCAGCACATGTGATACGCAGTAACGACAATCGCCTTATAAACAATGTGTTCTGAAAAAGGCCAGATGGAAGAAGGTCTGTAGGGCGGCCTAGAAAAAGGTGGAAAGATGCAGTCTCTTTGGGTAGATCTAGAGAAAATGGGAGTGAGACAATGGAAATTATTGTCTATTTGATTTATTTGCACTTTTATTAGATTAATTATTAATTAATTATCATCGCTCATCGAAAACATATCTTGAGCCTCTTGTGTCTCACATTGTGAAATAAGAGTTGCCCCAGCTGTGGCGTTTAGTGCTTTTGATTTAAACTTACCAGAAAAATCATTGAAAGTCACATCATCCTATAAATCTCCAGCAGAATCATCCGCTGGAGGATAAATGTATATGTCTGCAGAATCAAACTACTTCTCATTTACGTCATCGACTAGATTCTTCAAAGTATCAGCTAAACAACTCGTTTCCTTACCATATTTTTTTACAACCATAACTCCAAACTAAAGGGAAAATCCTCAATTAGCAACATACAGCCATGTTCCATTTTTGGAATATACAAAAACTCGGTATATTCAATTTGAGGTTAAGCATTTAAACGATACAGATATATTGTATAGGTAAATAATATTACTTAAACTTACCTTGATCGTAATATTTCACAACAGAATATAGCTATAATCATCAATATGACAGGTGCTAGAAAACAAGAATATTCCACCGATTTACATTAATGCTGTAAGGGAGTTGTACGATGATATGACGAGTGTAATAAAGATTGGACAAAAAGTGACAAAAAAGATAAAAGTGACCAAAGGACTTCGCCAAGGCTGCTGCATTGCACCTACACTCTTTGAGATTTATTAGGAGGGGATTTTGGATATTTGGAAAAGAAAATGTGAACCTATGGGTGTTAAAATTGGAGACCATACACTGTACAGCTTGCATTTTGCTGATGAGCAAGTAATACTTGCAGAAGATCAAGATGATATCCACTACATGTTACGAAAAATAGATGAAGAATATACTAAGTGGGGCTTATCAATTAATCCATCAAAAACTGAGTACGTAGTAGTGGGAGGTGAAGGAAAGCACTTAGAACTAGGAAGCAAACAAATTCAAAATACTGATAGCTATAAATATCTCGGTATAAACATTACAAACAATGGTCGGAATACAAAAGAAATAGCTACTAGAATTGGTCAAGGAAATTCAGCAATACGTCAACTGAATAGTATATACTGTGGAATAACCACATCACCCGAAACACAAAAATTAGGATATACAAAAGTATCATAAAAAGCATTGCTACATATGGTTCAGAGCTTTGGGTAATAAATAAAAATGACGCATCCAAAATAAAAGCAATGGAAATGAATTATTGGAGAAGATGTTGCCAACTCACTAGAAGAGATAGAGTAAGGAATACTGAAATCAGAGAGCGTATGGGCATAGACATTGACATCCTGGAAACTATAGAATGCAAAAGGCTGAAATGGTATAGCCATGTAGAAAGGATGAGTGATCAACTATGGCCAAAAGAATGTTACAGTGGATACCCACCAACCGCAGGAAAAAGGGAAGACCAAGAAGATCGTGGAGACAAAAAGTAAAAGGTGCAATGGAAGATAGGGTCTACAAGTAGATGACTGGAACGATCGCAAGCGTTAGAAGCTAGGTTGTGAGAAACGGCGGCAGCTGTAATAAACTCGGTATATATAGATAGCTATAATCAAGCTAAGAGTTATACAACTGCATCTTCCTTGAAATTTTGATATGAATCCAATATTTTCCAAAACTTCTATAAAACTGCTCCGGTTTTATCCTTAGAAAGAAAGAAGGGTCAATTATATGCCACCAGTCTAAAAACCGGAAGATTTTAGTTTTATAAAATTTATTTAAAAGAAAGGCGTGAATTTCAGTAGTCCAAGAAGCGCCACTTAGCTAAGTCGCCGGTTTTTTAGCTAAAAAGTTGATTCTGTAAAAAACTACGACATACATACAAAGTTACGGAAATAATATAGTATCTTGTATTTAGCTTTTAATTATAAGTGGAGTTAATAAAGTACTTTTAACGTCAACACACTTTATTGCGTTAATGTACAAAATACATAGTAATAAAGAAAGCTTACTGGAAATTTAAACATGCGTCAATTTAATAGTAACTATTGTTCGATGATTTGGCAATCAACATCCGTAAAGATTTTTAGATAACTATAAGTAACGTTTTGAAATATAAATTTGTTTCTGACGTAGATACAATTCGAACATGCAAATATAACATTATTATTCTATTTGCAATAAAAAGAAGTCGAAAGTATTTTGGGTTTTCCCTCAAGGATTTAAACTAATTAACACTGTAAACGTATGAATAAATTTACACTTAGAAAATAGAGTCGACTTAAAAATAGGTTCAACCATTGAGTAAATTTTTTTAAATATCTAATTGCTACATTTGTTTAACATCATTTGTATTGAAGTTATTTACTCACTGTTGATAGTGAATAAGAATCAAAAGAAATAAAAAGTTGCCCTTGAGGAAGGAGTAGAAAATTTACAAAAAAGATATGAGGTTATAAAGCAAGTTATATATATTTTCAAAATAAAACAAGCATTACAATTTTAGAATATCAGATAAAAAATTGACCATACATGATAATCAAAATAATGAAAAATCAAGCATCCATTAAATCATACACCCAAAATTATCAATAAAAAATTAAATAAACTTAGAAAATACTGCAATCAACCGGGGCCTATTTCAAAGAGATTTGTTAAGCCCACTGTGGTTTTGTCTAGCGATGAACCGATGAACAGGTTTTAGCATCAAAAATAACACTACTGTTGTGATTGTATATGGATGATTTAAAACTATTGGCTTCCACTCGAAGCCACCTGGATCAGATGCTGAAAACAGTGGAAAATTTCTCTACTGATATTAGTATGCACTTTGGCCTTGACAAGTTACGTGTCTTAAATATAATCAAAGAAAACGTTCCGCCTAGTGGATTCGATATGCAAAACGAACAGAACATCGAGGCCATGGATGAAAATGATATGTATAAATACCTCGGAATAAAGCCAGCGCGGAAGATTGACCATAAACAAATGAAAACTGAGATAACTGCTGAGTTTATACGAAGGGTAAAACAGCAAAAATTTGTTTAAGGCACTAATCACCGCGCTTAGCTACTTATTTGGTATTGTGAAGTGGACAAAAACAGATATAGAAAATCTTAGTAAAAAGTACGAACACACCTCACAAAGGCACAAAAACACCATCCTTAAAGTGCAGTAGAAAGAACGACATTACCGCGATATTTAGGAGAACGAGGACTTATGGATATAAGTAAGCAAATAGAAAAACACATTACTAATTTAAGAACTTATTTTCAGATGCAGGCTAAGACATCTACTCTACATCGAGCGATTTGTGCAGTAGATGATACAACACCGATCAAACTGAGGGAGTCAGAAATGCGCATAAACCATCTTACTAAGGACGAAAAAATGCGCACCTGGATGGGTAAACCTCTGCACGGGCGACATCCCAATGAGGTCAGTCAAGACCATGTCGACAATATAGCGTCGAACTATTTGCTGACATCAAGAAATATGTTCCCTGTCACAGAAGGTTCATT